AAGAAGGAAGTTCTTCCTCTAGAGGCAGAACCTTAAAGTCTGCTGCTGACCACATGGACAAAGAAAAGACCTTCTGGAGGAAAGTTCTGTGGTCAGATAGAATAAAAACGGAACTATTTGGCCACAATGACCAGAAATATCTTCGGAGGAGAGAATTTGAGGCCTTTAACCCCAAGAACACCAAACCTACTGTCAAGCACGGTGGTGGCAGCATCATGCTCTGGGGCTGTTCTGCTGCCAGTTGAACTGGTTCTTTACGTAAATGGAATAATGAAGGAAAGCCCATAATCATCAGCCAGAAGGTTAATCTTGGACTCAGTTGGATGTTTTCCAACAAGACAATGACCCCAAACACACAACAAAAGTGGTGAAGAAACGATTAAATCAGGCTAAAATTAAGGTTTTAGACTGGTCCCCCTAAAGTCCTGACTTAAACCCTGAAAAGAAAGGTTCCTACTGTCTAAATGATGCTGTTTGGGGAAGCCCAGACATAAACCTTCCTGCTCTTTGCTGCTACCTGCTGGAAATAAAATACAGACGTCTGCTGAAAGACTCTGTTTCCTCACAGTAGCTCTTCTATCCTCCACCAGCTGCTGAGGGGCAATTAAGTCTTCTCGTTAAACTGCGTCAATCAATCTGCTGCACTGAGTTAGAACCAGAGAACGTCTGCAGGTTTTCACAGCAGACAATAAGAGACATTTACAAGCTGCATGTAGCTTCACGGTTTTGTCCAGCAGATGGCCTTCATGCTCTGGTTTGTGTTTCTTAGCTCTCAAGCTGCGTTACAATGAAGTCATGTAACAACTATTCAGAGAAAAAGCAGACAGGATGTATTTATGCTCATTGTTTGATTGGCTAACCGAGCTGTGAATCTGGAGTCGTTTCATTTTCACAGCCATGACCTTGACCTCCAGCTCTTTGTCCATTGTGTTCATTTCTAGGAACATTTTGAGTGACTTGGAACAAATGTGTTGTTATTTAAGACAGATATGAGGTAAGTTAGGTCAAGATTAATGTTGTTTTAGACACATTTATGCCATTTTAAACAGCTTTTGAGTAATTTTGGTCAACTTTTAGGTCATTTAGGATGACTTTGGGTTGATTTATGACAGGTTTATGTCATTTGAGACCCATTTTTAGTGATTTTAGACAAATGTGGGGTAAATAAGGACAAGTTTGAAGTTGTTTCAGACATATTTGTGACATTTTAGACATATTTTTGAGTAATTTTAGATAAATTTCAATTAGCTTTGAACAATATTTGTGTCATTTCATACAATGTTTAACTGTTATTTAACAATGATCATTTTCGAGCTGCTGCAAACAAAATTTTAGTCCATTTTGATCATTTGTAAACCTATTTTGGACAAATTTGGAGTAATTTTTGGACATATTTGGGATCATTTGTGACCGGTTTATGTCATTTTGGACAATATTTAGGTAATTCTTGAAAAGTTTCTGTTATTTAGTACCATTTCTGAGCCATTCTAAGCAAGTTTGGAGTCAATTTAGACTATTTGAAACTTATTTTGAACATATTTAGATATATTCATAGACATATAGACATATTCTAGTCTTTTTATACAAGCTGATGTCCTTATGGAACAATTTTTTGAATAATTTTGGACAGGTTTCTATTGTTGTGGACACATTCTGAGTCATTTTGGACAAATTTGCGGTCATTTAAGGCAAGTTTAAGTAATTTTTTTAGTAATTTGAGATAAATTTCAATACATTTTGGACAATTTTTAACTAATTTAGGACAATTTCTGAGCCATTCTGGACAGATAAGTCAGTTTAGACTATTTTAGACTTATTTCGGACACGTTTAGACTGAATTTTTGTAAGATTTATGTAATTTTGGACAAATTCTAAATAATTTTGGACAGTTTTTTTTAGTCATTCAGGACACAGGTCTCTGTCATTTTGGATATATTTTGAGTGACTTTGGACAAATATCAAATCATAGTTCACATTTTGTGCAGCTGGGTTTGTTGCGTTTTTCTCCTTGAATCAAATCTTTTTTTCTGTTTTTAATTGTTAACTAGTTCTGAGAAGTTTGGGATTAACAAATAAATTTCTGTGGAGTTTTCCATTAAATAACATTTAATCACATAATCGCGGGTCAGTTGCGTCACTGTGAACCTGGGACGATACCTTTGCCCCAGTTTCTCTCAAAGTGTCAGAAGGCAGATGTGTTGTGTTGTGTAACTGCAGGTCCAGATGTACGGCGAGTGACTCACTGCCCTTTTGTACAAACGGACGATTGCACCAGTAAAGATAAAGAGTTGTTCACTGAGAAGGTGTGTGAAGGTGTCTGAGGATTTCATACGACTAAAACGTGAAGATTAAAGGGTTTTCCCACAGATTTCAAACACACCCTTTTTTAAAGGAAGTAATGAAAATCCCATAAAAGTGAAGGGCTTCAATTAATACATATTTCAGTGATCAGTTATTCTGTAGGTACTTTCCCTGATTGATAAAACTTCAAAAAAATGAGAAAAATCCTCATCACAGCTCCAAGTCCAAGGTCAGGTCTGTGACTGTCTCGTTTTCTCGCCGATCAAAAGTCCAAAATCCAAAAGATAATCAGTTTATGACCATAAAAGACCAAGAAATATTACCAATATTTACATTTTAAACCAACAGGCAGTCATTTAAAAAAAAAAAAAATAATTGCTTTTAAAAATGCTAATAAAGACATTTAGTTTGAGCTTATTTAGTCATAAAGCAACAAGCGTACTACATCTCTGCACAAATGTTCAAAATACAGAATTAAATACAGAAAATATTCTGGAAATAGAAGGAAATAGAGCTGCACAGAATATAGACATGTGAAGTATGGACAGAAATATTAATTGTGTGTAACTTCAAGAAGGTTTATGCATAAACGGACACTGATAGAAGGCATCCCAGTGAGGACAGTGTGGGTTCTCTCCGGGTTCTCTGGCTTCCTCCCACAAGGTCCAAAAACATCCATCCATCCATCCATTATCCATACACCGCTTAATCCTCACTAGGGTCATGGGGGGCTGGAGTCTATCCCAGCTGACTCAGGGTGAAGGCAGGGGACACCCTGGACAGGTCACCAGTCTATCACAGGGCTACACTTAGAGACAGACAACCAAGCACACTCACATTCACACCTACGGACAATTTAGAATCACCAATTAACCTCAACATGTTTTTGGACTGTGAGGGAGGAAGCCGGAGAACCCGGAGAGAACCCACGCTGCACGGGGAGAACATGGAGACTCCACGCAGAAAGATCCCGGTGCCCAGGACCAGGACACGAACCAGTGACCTTCTTGCTGCGAGGCAACAGTGCTACCAACTGTGCCACCCTGCAGGAGTGTGCTTGGTTGTCTGTCTCTAAGTGTAGCCCTGTGATAGACTGGTGACCTGTCCAGGGTGTCCCCTGCCTTCACCCTGAGTCAGCTGGGATAGACTCCAGCCCCCCATGACCCTAGTGAGGATTAAGCGATGTATAGATAATGGATGGGATAATATAATATAATATAATATATAAAGAGATTTAATAAAAAAAAACAAAACAGAAACTGATGCCAACTGGTTAAAAGAGGCACAAAATACATAAATAAATACAAAAACAATGCAAACTGAGACAAAATAGATGCAAAGAGACACAAATCAACAATAAAGAAGTATAAATTAACACAAAAAGATTTAAAATGACTGCAAAGAAACACAAAATTTAAACTATGAGCTGTGGAATGAATGCAAAGTGATGCAAAAAAAATAAAAAAGACTCAAACCAACAACAACAATGTAAAAACTGCACAAAAATAGATTAAAAAAATAAAAAAAACAAAAACAAAAAGTGGAGGAAAAAACAAACCACAAAATGTCCCCTAAAGCAAGTAGACTGACCATAAACAGAAGCAAAGCGATGAAACTGGACTTTGGAAATCATTAAACTGTTATGAAACACTAGGCGGTTTTAATAAGAGTCTGTACTTGTGCACATCCCACTGGTCTGACTGGTCCCAGTTCCTCTTCGTGGGGTCATTCCTCACCTGATGCTATGACGTCACGGACAAGCCCCGCCCCCTCTTCCCGCCTCCGTCACTGCACGCTGCAGAACGTGCTATCATTGCGTCAAGCCGCCGAGTGAAAGCGCGAGGAGCGCCGTAAGCCAGCACTTCTGCCTTCACAATTAAGGTTCATGATGTAATCGAAGACTTTCTCTTGGTGCTCGATTCATTGTTAAACTTTTTAGACATAAAAACAAACATCAGTGAGAAGTTATCAGAGCTCAGAATTGGTCCAAATCTATTTTGCTAAATATATATATATATATGGAAAGATATTAGCAAGAAACAGATTTTTAAAAAGTCTAAAATGTTTCCAAGAAAACATAGAAACAACACATTCAGTCAGAAATAGTCACAAAACAGCGGTATCAGTGACTCTTTGTGGTCAATTTGTCCACTTCGACACTGTTTTTACATCTATTTTTTCTCATTTGGAGTTCATATGTGGTGTTTCTTTGCATTTTGTTATTGTTTACATGTCTGTTCAGTTATTTTGAGTCTCATAGTTGTCATATGTATGTGTATTTTTAGGATTTCTCGCTTTTTTGCTTTCTGTTTTTAAAGTATTTTTGTGTATTATTGTTGTTCATGTGTCTTTTTTAGTAATTTTTGAATTTCCTAGTTGCCCTTTGTGTGTCTTTGTAGTAGAGTATTTAAAAAAAAAATTTTTTTCGTATCAGTTCAGTGATTTTGAGGCTCTTTGTGGTTGTTTGGAACCTATTTGTGTTAATTTTGCCGTTGTAAGTTGTTTGTGTGTGCTTCTTTTCTTTTCTTGTGTAATGTCTCTTAACGTTTGATTTAACTGACATTCTTTAAACAACACAACGACAGCATGCCCTCTCTCTGACCTTTCCCCCAACTCCTGCTGCATTTTATTCTGAAAGTCTCCACCGGAACAGCCGCGTGCGTCTGCGGCAGCTTCCTCGTCAGCAGCCTGTCAGAAGGACATCTGCCCTGAGCGCATCCTCCGGACTCTCCCCGCTGATAAACCAAACAATATCGGCAGGTTAAAGCGGCAGCAGCCACTCTGCAGCACAACATTCGACTTTCAGCGCTTTGAAGAAGCTTCCAGAAACTTCCGCAGCAGGAAGATGAACGACAGCGAGCCGAGCAGCGCCCTGCTGGCGGAGTACGACTTCGAGCGGCGCTTCGACGAAAGACGAGCTCTGGAATGGATGCAGGAGAACTGGTAGGAAGTTAGAGGGCAGGTTCACTCATCTAGACGTGATTTAAACCGCTAACTCCTCCCTGGGAAGCAGGGCGAAGCGGGCTGCTGGCTCTGCATTGTGCGGACCCACATGTGGCCTCTTCTTTTTTTAGTTTTAATTCTGTTTGCAATAAAGTAAAAATGTCACAAATCCTGACTGAAGCGGAGTCAGAGGAGCTGGTTGGCTGCAGCCGCGTGCAGCGGAGCAGAGAGGATGCTGAGCGGAGCGCGCGCTGCGTCTCCTCACAGTGATGGTTTAATGAGCAGCCACCAGGACGGTTCCCTCCATGTTTATTCAGCTCAGCTCCCCTCAGCGTCCAATGAGCTGCAGAGCGCAGAGGGAGTGATTCCTCCGGCTCAAAGCCTGCAGGACCACATTTTTCGGTGTCACTCTGGTGTGACTGTGCAGCCCTGAGACCAGGAGCAGGTTCTCCTCCTTCAGGTGTCCGTCCAGCAGCAGGCACTGAGCGCGTGCACAGTGTTCGGATCTGCAGCAGTGACAAAGAAGAGATAAAAGACATTTAAAATAGCAGAGAAAAAATCTGTAAAAAATAACAGTCTTTAAAATACTTATTTTTACTTCCCAAAAACCAGAAAATATCTGCAGCACAATAATGTTTGTGCTGATCCCAGTGCAGCAGAAATTGTGTCATTTTATGGTCACACATTGTAGAAGAACAAATTATTATTTAAAAAAAATAAACTAGTTTTTGATATGGACAGTTTTTTTTTTTTTATTAGTCAACATGTAAAATAATTTTTCATTTACTGGGGTTTTATTACATTTTATCTGTAATTTAACAAGACGGAAAATATCATTAAATTAACATTTACAATTTTTAAATTATAATATGCATAACATATAACTTAGCACTATTTTACACTCCACTATTTGCACGGTTTAATCTAGTTTCTGTACATATGTAGATAGCCAGATTTTTTCAAAATTTATTTTATTTTATTTTATATTATTTTATTTTATTTTGTAGGAGTACTCCATGCTGCACTGCTGCTGAGTGCTGTGAGCTCAGAGCTGAGAGTTTTGTTGTATTTTGCACAATGACAATAAAGCCTCTATAATTTTTCTTTCGAATAAATGTCTGTTAAATACATGACAAAATAAAGTTAAAAACAATGGTAATTTTATTGACCTTTTTGTATTAATCGTGTAAAAATCTGGCAGTCAGTGTGCCATAAAAAGGCTTTAAAAAGTGGAGGAACATTGTAAAGTCAGCAAGAACAACAGTGAAAATAATGACAAATATCTATTGATTAATATTGTTTAACACATTTAAATAAAATGAAACAGTGAGATTTAATAGTTGCATATTGTAAGAGATTAAATTTAAATGTAGAAGTTTATTTTACACTCAAGATGTAAGTTCATATTTTTTGTGTGATTTTACGAGATGCTATCAGTAATTTAACAAAACAGGCAAAACCTTTAAATTAACACTTATTTACAGTTAATTATTTGCCATTTTCAATCCCTAATATACATGATTTTCTTTTAAATACCAACAAATATTTGTTACATCATTAAGTCTTTTTTACAGTCAACTTGTAAATTAAATTTTTTTTTCTGTGATTTTACTACATATTATTGGCATCTTGGCAAAATTCAAAATCTGTAAAATAAGAAAAAAAAAATATCTACATATAAAATTTTTTTTATCACTAATATAAATACTTGCTTTTCAAATAAAGGCAACTGAAACTCTGACAGCATGGTGCCAGACGATACTGTACAAAATGGAGAAATGCTAAAATGCTAAAAAAAAAAACCCAAAAAAACAAAACAGAAAAGTATACTAAATATCTGTAAAATAATAATGATATTTTTTGTCTGAACTGGGCACAAGTTGTAAAATACGTCATGTAAATTCATGTTTTTGTCAGTGATATTATCTGGATATTATCTATAATTTAGCAAAACAGAAACATCTTAGCAGTAATAGTCAAAAACAGTGTAATTTTACAATCCAATCTTGTAAACCAATGAGTTAGTGTGAGGAAAAGTGCAGATTTTTTGCTGTGTCGTGAACATTTCTTGCTGCGAAGCCTGGCTGTCTGCAGATCGCTATCAGCTGCTATCTACGCAGCTCTTTCTGGAGTTGTGCAATTCTGCAGTGACTAATTAGCTTTTCTTCCTATTTTGAGCTCGTCCCTGCACTTGAACTTGCTTCTTGTTGTCAGTGTCACTGCAGAACCGGCTAGAAAGCTTCTGATGAAGGTGCTAATAAGTCAGTGCAGATATCACGTCTTCCTTACAGGAGCACAACACGTTTTCTACAGAATTAAATGTCCTATGTGGTGAAAATCTATTTTTATTGCGTTTTTAATTTAACAGTATAAAGTAGAAGCTATTAGGATGTGAAGTGTTTCCCTCTGCTGTGTCTCAAGCCCAAGCACCACTAGTGGATGGCTGTGGTTCAGGAGCAGGTTGTCCTTCAGTCGCAAGGTTGGCGGTTTGATCCCCGCCCCTCCACAGTTGAAGTGTCCTTGGGGCAAGGCACTGAACCTGAAGTTGCTTCCAATGGCAGGCAGAACCTTGCATGGCAGCTCTGTCGCCATTGGTGTGTGAATGGGTGAATGAGAAACACATTGTAAAGCGCTTTGGATAAAAGGAGGTGCAGACCATTTAGTGAGCCTCTGAACTTAATTCATGCTTCACCTCCGTTCATACACCAGTCCAGTCACATTGCCCTCCTATCAAATCCCAAACAGGAAACAGGAAACAAGAGCTGCTTGCAGATTGGACTGTATCACTGGGCCAGAGAATAGTCCTGAGGTGTGCCAGACAGTGGGCCAACATGGCAGAATGTAGGACTTTCTACTGTGCTGTTGTTGCTTTTCAATAGACATCATGTCTAAATCAAAGCATCTCCAAAGTCCTGCAGCCACTTCGTCAGCTGATCATGTTGAAGCTGTGGATGGCTGAGTATCACCTCCTTGGACCAGACATCTGTATTAAGCACTTGTTGTTTTTCTAGCTTGTCGTTGGCGTTTCCGCAAATTTTGGGTAACAAGCATACTCGGCCTGATGGTGAACTTCACCTCACGCCTGGCAGCATAAACTAGCCTCAAGACCAAAAAACAACCTCATCACTGACCAATAGTCATCCAGGTCACACTTTTGATATTCCCTCCTTATCGCTGCTTCCAGGTGAGTCACTCAGAATAAGTCCAGCAGGTTTATTTACTTTTTAAAATGGTTTTTTTTATGAAGCCTTTATTTAACCAGGTGGGTCCTGTTGAGACACAATGACGTCTTTTTCAAGGGAAGCCAAGACAGCAGCCTGATGAACATTAAAGTTACAACAATTAAAAACAAGTAACGATGTGAGTAAAATACACGCTAGATATAAGCAACAAGATTAATCATTTACATTGAAACAACAACAAGTGCGATATGTAGTCTCTCATGTGGTTTTTAGAAGATCCGAGGGCGATGAGATCCTTTAAATTCAATGTGTTCGAACCTTCTGCACATTTAATAAGTACAGATCATTGGAACGTAAACAGTAACTGCTGTGAGTTTTAGGAATTAAATCACATAGATAGTTGGGGAGTAGCCCTAGGAAGGCTTTGTAATAAAAGTGTACCGGTGCGTAAAGCTTTCTAGAGCTGCTAAGCTCATGTCTCAGCTACGAGCAAAACGCAGCAAATGTTCTGCTGCAAGAGTGAACACGAGAATCTTCATGCACTCCCAGCATCTGAGGAGCTCCAGTGTGTTGCTTTTATTATCGATGCCACTACAACGATAGGACTATTCTCAGTGTGTTGTGCGACTAATGTGGCTAACGTAGCATTAGCTTTCATCAAATACCCACAGGTCAGAAGTGTCTGTAAACTTTAAGAGCGATTTGAATTCTCAATAAAACCCCTTACATTTACACTTTTGTTTCTGTTGTCAGATAGCAGAATGAAATAGTGGCGGAAACAAGGCTCATTAAGGCTACATCAAGTCACTCGTGAGCTGCTAAAATACAGATTTTATAATTGCAGCATTGTCTGACAAACTCCCCAAACACACAAGTTTAAAAGCAACTGCTATGTTTTGAATTTATCCAATATTTCCAGAGAGACAGCTTTAAGCTATGTGTCTTGCTTCGAGCTGTCAATCAAAGACTCAGAGGGCGTTTTCTTCCTGAAGGGGGCGGAGCCAGCAGCAGCTCATTGGTTTCTAAAGCATCTCATTTAGAGGAGCCTTAAAACCAGGAGTTACACCGTGGAGGTGAAAGGAACCATGTTTGCATGTTTTGAGGCGATAAATTAAAAGCAACACTGACTTTTACAACCACATGAATGCAGTAAAACAAGCCGTCAGTCACACGAGAGTTCAGGAGGGAAGCTGAAGGAGGTCAGGAGTCGGGTTTCTCCTCAGAGCTGCAGTTTACAGAAGGAGGTGTCCTCTGTTGGATCAGCTTTAGTAATGAGCTTTATCTGTAACACACCCACATACAGTCGCTTTACATCCATTTTTTTATAACCTCACAGTCTTCAGCGTCAAATGTATTCCTCCATGTCACGACGTCTTTATGTTTCATTACACGTCCCCACAACATTACACGTTAAAACAAGCCAGAACTGTACCAGTGTACACATAAGAAATCTGCATTTTTACAAACCTTAAACCCATCATTTACAATAAAATGATATTATATATACATACGCTATATTATACTGTATTTAAATCAGCAAAATAATCTTTATTTTACAGATATTTGTCGTAATATGAAAAAACAGTTTTATATATTCAAGATTTTAGTTATTTTTTAAACTGTTATTTTACAGATTTTTCTCTCTCTTGAGTAAACTCAGAGAAAAACAACTTTTAATTATATGTTAACTCCGACAAAAACTGTACATAACGTTCATATAAAAAAATCTGTCTTCTTTGCAAATAGTCATTCATATTTTGTCACAATATTTGACCATAAAAGTACAAGTATTTTAAAGGTATTTGCTGTCATTTGAAAGAAAAATTCTGTACATTACAGGCCGAAAAATGGTTAATAATTTGAATTAATGAGTTATTTTTACAGGTATTTTACCTGTTTTGTTACACTACAAACAATATTTAGTAAAATCACAGAAAACATGTCATAATTTAAATGTTGACGATTAAAAAAAACCATTAAAAATCTTTTTTTTGGTCTGTTTTTAAAAAAAAATAAAAAATAAAAAATAGAAACTCAATGTGTGACCATAAAATCATACCATTTTCCTGTATTTAAATCAGCCAGAAAAATCATTATTTTACAGATATTTGTCATGATTGTTGCTGTTTTTATAGGGTTTTTTTTTCAGTTTTTTTTTTAACAGGATATGTTTAACTATAATTTTTCAGACTTTTCCTCTTTTGAGAAATTATAGATAATAACTAGTAAAATCACAGAAATAATAATTTCTATGTTTATTGAAATGAAATGAAATGAAAATGGAATGAAATGAAAAATACTTAATTAAATCAACTTACTTAATTTATCCCAGAAGGGAAATTCAATCTTGTAAAAGCTCACTTCCTCTTTTTTTTTTCTTTTTTTAATCACTAATATTTTTTAGTCAATAATCAATAAATTAATAAGTTTAACGTGCCAAAGCTGTAAACAACATGTAAAAAAAATCTGTATTATTACAAATATTCTAGAATTAAAAACTAAATATCTTTGGTTTGTTGAACCGATTGAAGTACATCGGTGCACATTTTTCACCTTTTTCTTACATTTTATCCTCTTAATAATCATTTAATTGCAAAAAAAAAAGGCTACATTTCGAGGGAGTTTCCTGCTTGTCCATCAGTCAAGTCTTCAGCCTGATGCACGTTTTTATTTCTGTATCCCAGAGAGACGAACTGCCATCAGCGGTCAGAACCCCCCCGTAGCTTTAACTGGGTCAAGCTGCAGGAGCATCGACTGATCCTGATATTTATTGTACCACTCTGGATTAGTCATCTGCTGTAGATTCAAACAGCCTCACGCACATCATCAGCTCTTTATTTACGTAGACAGACAGTAAAAAAAAAAAGAAAAAATCACATAAAGTCAGTGTTTAATGCAAGAACAACTAGCATCGGTGCACATGTTGGAGGTTTCATTCCTGCTTATTGAAACTTCTGATGAAACCAGAACGCTGCCTCATCACCCTCAACCGATCATCATCATCCTCCTCCTTCATCCTCCACTTCTGTTATAAACCAGGAAGCTGCTGTCAGGAGGCTTTATGACGAGACTCTTCTTTACATTTTACAGTTTGAAGAGCTGCATGTGTTGAACAAACATCCCCTCCGAGCAGACGGTCACATCGCGCCGTGTTTGTTTTTAATTGCAGCCGTCTGGTCCGTTCACCCTTATAATTGTGTAACTTTCTTATGTAAGCGCTGCGCATCTGTGTGTGTGTGTGTGTGTGTGTGAGGAGGTGATTTAGGGTTTAACAGCTGTCTGTCCGAGGAACTCATCCTCTTCTTCCTCTTCTCTTTTGTAACCCCACAGAGCTCAAAGTACATCCAGAGCTGATGGATGGAAAAAAGTTTACCTACAGTCAGGTCCAGTCATAGAAATAATGAGCCTTAGTGCAGAAGTTCCCCAAAGATTTCCATCAAACACACCTCAGCTCATCATTTACTTATTTGTAGGTGCTTGATTTCACAATAAAAGATTTATTTTTGGCATTTTTATGTCAGTTTCAGTTATTTTTTTATTCTATAGGAAAGTGTTTGACACTGTACAAGTCTAATAAGGAACTGATTGGCAGATTTCAGTGTATTGTTCCTGTTTAACATATTTAAATATAACGTTCCTTAAAATGTTACAGGGACATTTAATCACTTCCTTATAGCTGCAAGTTAAAAACAAAACGCAAAGAAGTTGTGTCCCTCAGCTGCAGAAATGCAAAGAATAAAATATGTTGTTTTTTTTGTGATTTCTGGACATTTAAGGTGTGATTTCACATATGAGGCATTCATTTTTATTAAATATAAAACACCACTTTTCTTTTTCCTCTTTCTTTGTTTAACTGATAATCTCATCACACACCTGCTCCTTTTCTTTTGTAAATATTTTAACTGCAACAACAGAAACATGAATTACCAACTGCATGATTCAAGTGAAAAATGTCAAATATTCTCAACGTCTCACATGTGAGAATTATTTACATTTTTAAATTTTGACTCCAACCTTTAGATTAGCTTGACATTCATGCAGCAGCTTATGCTTTTTAAAAAATCATTCTCATCTTTCTTGAGCTATTTATTGACTATTTTGTTTTGTCATTTTAAAATTGACTTAAAAAAATTGTCCTATTATTATTATTATTATTGCTATTGTTATGATTCTTCTTCTTCTTCTTATTATTGTTATCAATTAAATCTGTTCTTCCTAAACTGTTTATTATTTATTCGTTTTAAATACATTTTACAAGTCACAATCTTTTATTTATTTATTGTTTACTTGATATGCAATAAGCCAATATTTACCGTCTTGTGCATTTGTCTGTGCATTAACCTGAGGACGCTTTGATTGATTGATTGATTTATTGATCGACTGATAGACCTGCAACAAACTGGAACGTTTGCACAAATTACAGTCTTGATGAATTAAGACAAAAACGTCTCTACACTCAGACAGACTCAAGCAAAGAGGAAGTCTGAGCACCAAACTGTCGCTCATAAATGTATGTTTGCAAGTTCGACAATGTGCAGGAACCTTAAAATACCTCAGAAGATGTTTTATGTTTATATTGTTTTCAGGTGTTCCTGCCTGTATTCCTCTAGGTATTCTCTAAAGCTGGTACCTTGTGATGGATTGTGTTCATTTTGTGTGTTTTTTTTTTATTCACTCTGCAGGAGCAAGTCCTTCATGTTCTGTGGCCTGTACGCTGCACTCGTCTTCTTCGGTCAGCACTTCATGAGGGAAAGACCGAAGCTGAACCTGCGGCGTCCGCTGGTGCTGTGGTCGCTCAGCCTCGCCGTGTTCAGGTGAGAAACGCTGGCCTCTGATTGGTCAGTCGACAGGAAGTTCATTAAAACGCAAAACAGTCCATTTAATCAACGAGTATCCAGAGAATCCTTGATTTGTTGGTTTTAGGAACTGAAATCTCCAAAATTAATAACGCTGTAGGGTCTTTACATAAATATAAAGTTCTGTCGTTTATAACACTGTAAAATTTATCTACATTATGACATTAGTTAGGTTATTATCTATAATTAATAACACTACAGGGTCTCAGTTTTAGTAGGTGTTATATAGGTAAATGTTAAGTATACTATTATATAATTTTTTTAGGGTTAAGGATTCAGTTAAAATTCCACCATAAACATCACTGTAGGGTTTTAACCCCAGTGTTGAAACTCGTTAGGTTACTTTTACTTTGGTGCTACATGACAAACAGTGAGTTGACTTCGTTAAGAAAAGAACATTTCTACACATCAGGAGTTCTGTTCTTTCTATTTAAATCATTGCAAATTGAGTCTTTTTGAAGTTCTGGCAGTAATTTAATGACATTAGTTCATGTTTTCACTTCTTCGTTTGACATTTTGTAGATTAAATGATGAGTTAAGCTAAAATATATATATTATCAGACGTAAATTCCACAACATAAGTTACTGTTTACAGCAATACTCTGCAGATTCTAACACTGTGCAGCTGATTTATGAGTTTTTATAGTAGTTCCATCTTAACGTTGGTGGTTTTCCATGTAAACAGCAGGAGTAGATGTTGCCTTTAGCTGCAGGAGGCCTGAAAGAATCCAGAAGGAAACGTGATCTGAGTTTAAAATGTTTGAAAGACGACACAACTTGTCACAGAAACATTCCTGACTGGGTTTACAGCAGCGAGTTCACAGAAATTCACAGCCTTCACAGAAATGAAGTGATCTTCGCTAACCGAGAGCCTGAAGCGAGGCTCTGAGAGAAAATGTAGCTTGAATACCGGACAGCATGGGACAGCTGCACCCGGTTGTTTTCTCATCTTCACTAGTGTTTCCATTTATTTACCTAAATCCTCTTTTATTTGTGTTTACGTGTCATTATATGAGAGGAGCCAGATTACAGTAATACCCCGGAGCTTTATGTTGTTTATGTCAAATCCAATTACGACACACTGTACAAACCACCATTTGTAGCCGCTTTCAGCATTTTTATGTTTTTGCAATTAACTATAATTTGTCAGACTTTTCCTCTTTTGTGAGATTATAGATAATAACTAGTAAAATCACAGAACTAGAATTTTCTATGTTAAACGTGCCAAAGCTGAAAATAACATACATATAAAAATATCTGTATTATTACAAATATTAATTAATTCTTTCATTTAGTTTGTAAAATTACACCACTTTACTACATTTAAATTAGCACTGAAGTAATACAGATATTTAATTTAAAGAAAAATGATGTATAATAATCAATGACAAATGGTAAATATTTGTTTGAAACTGTTTTTTTTTGTTGTTTTTTTTTTACAGATTTTTCCTGTGAAATTGGAGATAACTGGTTAAGTCACAGACAAAGTTTTATTTTGTAATTGACTGAAAAAACAATTTGTCTTTTCACAAATGGTAACTTACTGTGTGACCCTAAAATTCCATCGTGTTACTGTATTTTACAGATATGTGGCGTTATTTGAAGTAAATGATATATATACATGTTAAGAATTTTAAAAAGGGAAATGTAATTTTTTAAACTTTTAAACTGTTACGATAAAAATAAATTACAGATAATATTTCATAAAATCACAAAAAAATTAATGTACACATTTGCTATAAACAGCAGCAATAAAAATTCCACTTTTTCTTTTGCTGTATTTAAATCAGCAAATTTTTTAAAATGTATTTTCTGTTATTTGAAAAAACAAAATCACCTATATTATGGATTAAACTGTAAATAGTTTGATTTACAGTCAGTTTATGGGTTTTCCCTGTTTTGTTGATTTACAGATAAAATGCAGTAAAATTATAGAATAAATGTGTTCATTTACACATTGACCATAAAAGAAAACAATCAAACACTGATGTCCATAATGATGTCCATAATAATAAAAAAAATAAATCTGTATTTTTACAAATAGTATATGGGTCTGCTCCAGCATTTAACTATATTTAAATCGACCAAAAATGATTTTATTTTACAGATATTTGCTCTTATTTGTAAACAAATATTTGGTATACTAAGGATTGTTAAATTACAGACAAAATTTAGTAAAATTGTACAATAAAGATGTTCCTTTACATATTAAACATAAAAAATGTAAAAAACTATAAAAAAAATAAAATAAAAAAAAAAACAGGCTAAAACTGTAAATAATGTCCATATAATAAAAACAATGTTTTTACACATTACTATTTGTAAGTTTAGTTTCTAGATTTTCCCAGTCATGTTAAATCACACATAATATTTACTCAAGTCGCTGAACATGTGGACTTTATGTCCACATGAGGAATCAGAGTTTGTTCTTTCACAGCGTGTGACGGTTAAAGTGTTAAAGTGTTAAAGTGTGTGTTGGTGACGTGAAGCAGAGCAGAGTTGCGCTAAAGTGTGACCTCTCAGAGGGTTTTATGGACATGACTGGACGAGTCTTTATGGTTGAAGTCGAGTCAGAACAATGCTCTCTCTGCTTCATTCATGTTTTTATGAGAAATTGTAGTCGGAGTTGTAAACGTGGTGCTTTTAAGGTCTCCATGTTTGACTGAGGAGCTACGCTGAGCGTACAGATGGGCTGTTTTATGACCCTTAAACACAAGTGGAATTATTCCACTTTAACCGAGACACTCCCACTTTTACAAGGACGATAAAAATACTACATACTGTTTATTTTAGGATGGTTCAGGAACATGTGCTTTACTCGTATTATATATAAAACACACCAGAGGCCACTTGGGAAAACGCTGTTGCACTGTAATAAATAAAAACAGAAAATCAACCCTTTTGATTTCAAATGTAAATATACTAGAGGTATCTTTGTTTAAAAAAAAAAGTGTCTGCCTTTAAGTGAGAAATCACTTGAAGCAGGAACCTCAAGCTGCAGGAAGATGTAGAGAGTTTTCGTTTTGTTTGGCAACAAGTGTTGGTTTTCGTTCTGAACTGAATGAACTCGTCAACTTGCTCCTGCAGGTTGGGTTTAAACTCAGATTAAAGATTTCACAAGACTGCTGACTCACCAGTTCTTCCTGCATACACCTAAACAAGCCGAGAGTTGTCTCTGTGGACGTTTGTCTTTGACAGACGGTAATAATATTGAATGACTAATAATAACGTGTGAAGATAAATATTAAGGCGTCACAATTATAACCAGAGGGATGCCTTTGAAACAATAAGTCAAGCATCCGTTTGTGTTGCTGACGTGTGTGTTTGTGTGTTTTATCTGCAGCATCATCGGAGCGTTCAGGACCGGACTGTACATGCTGCACGTGCTCACCAACAGCGGCTTCAAGCAGTCGGTGTGTGACAACAGCTTCTACAGCGCCCCCGTCACCAAGTTCTGGGCCTACGCCTTCGTCCTCAGCAAAGCTCCCGAACTGGGTGAGAATTCTTTAAATTCCTGCTCACACAGACCGAAATATCCACATTTCTGATAAACAGATTCAGCAGCTACTGACAGGTTGCTCATCCCGAGGTTTTTAGGTTGTGGTTAAGAAAACAACTGACTGAATTCAGCTGAAAAGTAGACGTTTTCTGCATGTTGAGGTTCCACATGTGAAGCAGGTCCTATATGCATTAAACAGAGGTGGTTAAACGCTGTTGGAGCCTGTAATAGTTATAAATAATTAACGTTTAGTTAAATGATCTTGTTTTACTCTGAATGGAGCCTTTTTCACCAAATCAAAACTTAGGATAAAATGAGTTTGACTTATTTGATCTCAAATCATCAACAGCCTTCTACTCAACCACCTCTGATTTGCTTTTTTTTTTTTAATAATCCATCCATCCATTATCTGTACACCGCTTAATCCTCACTAGGGTCGTGGGGGGCTGGAGTCTATCCCAGCTGGACAGGTCACCAGTATATCACAGGGCTACACTTAGAGACAGACAACCAAACACACTCACATTCACACCTACGGACAATTTAGAATCACCAATTAACCTCAACATGTTTTTGGGAGGAAGCCGGAGAACCCGGAGAGAACCCACGCTGCACGGGGAGAACATGCAAACTCCACGCAGAAAGATCCCGGACCACCTGCGCCACCTTGCAGCCCTTTTTCAATAATAAATTAGGAATATTTAAAATAAAATCAGTGAAGTCTTACCTTGATGTATCACGTACTTTCTAATAATTTAAAAAGAATTCTCATCATGCCTTTGAGTCTGAATTTCAATTATGGACAAGTAGCTGAAATGTTCAATAAATACACCTTTTCTGGATTTTAGGGACCAGTTACTTCATATTAAAAGCATTTTGTATGTTTTGTTTTGTATTATTGTGGCATTCAGCTACATATAGTTCAGAAAATATCTTTAGCTGACTCCTGCTTTATCAATTCGTTTGTTAAAGTTGTTAAATCTGGAACTTTACCCTTAATCAGAAACTATGTGATCTATTTGTCCAATATTGTAGATTGTTAATCAATGACATGATGAGAAGTAACAGTGAACATTTCAGGCTTTTATCTGAAATAGTTTCTGAGATGTCGTCATTCAAAGTGCTGAAAGTGAGTTGACAGAATTTTTTACAAAACTGTTCTCTTGGAAAGTTTTTGATACGTCAAGCTAAAATTTCACAAATATCCTTTTAAGTGTTCATATTTTATTGGGTAACATTTTCAGGCAAATCATAAATGGTGGAGCAGAAGTTGTTCTTAAAATGAGATGATTTGAGATGGAAGGACCTGAACACTGTGCCACGTTTAACAGACGGCGCAGTAATAAACCAAAAAGACACAACATGAGACAGAATAAACCATATAAATGAGAAATTATACATAAAATCTTACCATCTAAAACATCCACATGTTTGCAAAAACTTTATTCGTTTGTAATACAGATGAATAATTTAAAAAACCCGGCATCTAAAAATCAATCATATAAATCCGATATGTGGTCGAACACATCAAGATTTCAGACTGAGCTGCTGTTTATTGAGCAGTGGGATAAAAATGAGATAATAAATAAATAAAACCTGATCTGAGAACCTTCTGAGAAGATGAAATGTGTATCTCCAGGTCGGGATGCCACCTGACACTGGGTTTTTCTACACTAAACCGACCCTTAACCCGCGCTGACCAAATGCTTCTGCTCTTCCTTTGAACCTTTAAACTCTCCAGTAAACGTATCAGCAGACAATCATCTAAAGAGCTGCTCCTCTGCACTCCGATTCCGTCTCCTCGTCCGCCCGGTAATCTCGTCCCCGTCGGAAAGAGAGCGCCGATTGTTCTGGGAAATGGAGCGGGATGCTGAGGTGGCAAGAAAATTCCATTAGTGCATGATTGATGTTGTTTCCTGGGCTGCAGCCAGGAAGGACGTCTTCACCTTCCTCCTGCTCAGACCAGTGAAACGCTGCAGGAAACGCTCTGTGCTGGATCTCTTAATGGAGCCGCACAATGGAGTCAGTGCAGATGAGCCATTTAAAGCAGAAATGGAAGGTAGTTCTGGTGTTTAACTACCTGGGTTTTACTTTCATAGGTGTAGCTTCTATTGGTAGTAACTTGTGGGCATTAAAGTATTACTGATGAGATTCGGGAATGCGGCCAAACAGTTTATCTGGATTAAATAAACTAATTTATTTGGGTTCACAAAAGACATTTTGGCTCCTAATTAAGTTTGTTTACAGCCTGTCTGGTCATCTGACTGCTGGTCTTTCCTCTTTAGTTCATCATAAAATACAAAAAAGATGATATAAAACTGTTCTTTGCCTTTTACAGTCTTCATGTTAAAGACTTCCTTTTAATTTTTTTAAGGACTTTACTACATATTCGCTCATTGTGCAGAAATACGTATGTCTTTGTAGTTCTTTAATTTATTTTAAGGGCCCCTAAATACACACTACTCTCTGATGAAGCTGCTAAAACAGCCGTGGAACGACCAACAAGCAAAATGGAGACAGTGCTTCATCTGTAACTCCATTAAAATCCAACTACCTGCTACGTCAGTGAGAGCGTTGGAGTCGCTGCTCAGCAGGTTCACTCATTTATCTGCACAATTCAGCATAAAAGGGAAAACTAACGGTTTTAACCTTCACATCAGCAGCTGGTCTTAACCTCAGCATAAGTAACTAACGAGGGCCGCCCACATTAGTCGGCATAAATGAGCTGAAAATGCACCTATATTGATTTTTTTCCCCTCCCAAGTCAACTTCATTTCTCGTAACAAATGACCATGTAGTTGTTGCATCATGACATCATGACTCCTGTCATTGGTCGACTGCAGTCAGATGTAGTTTCAGAAAACGGTGGCTGCAATAGAATCCGATGCAGGTCAGTGTAGAATTCTGGGAGTACTTCAGGTTCAGGTTTGTTTCTCTCCTGCTCTCTGTGCTCACATAAACTACATGTTAACACAGCTGAATTCCCAATAAAGCCGTTCTCGTTACCTAATTTGTTTTTTGTTTCTGTGTCAAATAGTGACTGAAACGCAGCCCAATAAGACGACATGTTAACCAGCTGTCACTCAGTACAGAAGTTACCGTACATAAAAGTTCATTTGGCTGTATTTTTAAAGAATTTGAAGCTGCTACCAAAGTCTAAAAACAATCTGGCGAAAAGAGTTGCTTTAGCTGCTTCATATGCTTGTAAAATATCCGCTATATATCTGAGATTTAACTAAGAAAGTGTAGCCCTGTGATAGACTGGTGACCTGTCCAGGGTGTCCCCTGCCTTCACCCTGAGTCAGCTGGGATAGACTCCAGCCCCCCCATGACCCTACTGAGGATGAAGTGGTGTATAGATAATGGATGGATGGAACTAACAAATTGTAAAGGTGTAAAAGTTTGGATTTCTGTTTGACCCTGCGTCTTTGCCCTGAGGTGCCACTTTTTCACCTTGCTGCATTATACAATGACACACTTAAATCTTTTTTAAGTAACACAGTTGATGCATGAATTGATGAAATAATAGTTGTCAGTGGCAGCCCTGTAATTAATTAAATAGCCATTGTCTCTGTGTCCTCTGTAACTAGGTTGGTAGAGTTCTTCAGGACTTTTAGGAAATCAGCAGGAAATAATCGGGTCGTAGAATTATTATATGTTTATATTTAAATAATGGTACAGCAACCCCAAACAATACTCTTTTCAGCACCTAACTATGAAAATTTTAGTAGAGAAGATAAATGCTGTAGAAACAAAAGCAGCTGTATGAGAGTGTTTTTAATTTAAATTAGAAATAAATCAGAGCAGTCGTCCCACTTTCAGTCCACGCTGCTCAGTGTTGAGGTTCGACATCCAGCTGTGGTGCCTGTGAATGACTTCCTGTCCGCTGTCTGTCCCAGGAGACACAGTGTTCATCGTCCTGAGGAAGCAGCGCCTCATCTTCCTGCACTGGTACCACCACATCACCGTGCTGCTCTACTCCTGGTACTCCTACAAGGACCAGGTTGCGGGCGGCGGCTGGTTCATGACCATGAACTACTTGGTCCACTCGCTCATGTACACGTACTACGCTGCCCGGGCGGCCGGCCTTCGGGTGCCTCGTCCCTGCGCCATGATCATCACCTTCACCCAGATCATGCAGATGGTGATGGGCCTGGCCGTGGTGGGCCTGGTGTACCGCTGGATGCACGAGGTCCGCTGCCCGTCCAACCTGCACAACATCACGTGGGGCTCCCTCATGTACCTGAGCTACTTGGTCCTCTTCGCCTCGTTCTTCTACAACAGCTACCTCAAAGGCTCGTCCAAGGACAAAGGACAGAAGGCCGAGTAACTCGTCTGTACTGAGCTCACGGTCGTATTAAAGTGTGCCATCAGTAGAAGTGACCAACAGCGAGAAGCCATGAATGTGAAGGCTGCTCAAATCCAAGTCCCGGTACTGTGAGTTTTTACTCTCAAAACAATGATACATCTGCGGACTCAGAGCGTTTGGGAAGAGGAGACCAACCCCGGACTCAGCACATTTTAATAGGACCTCCTGAATAGTGGGGAGTACAGCGTGGAGAAAGGTTAGAGAAGGAAGGGAATGACTTCATTTAAGTTATTGCATTGGTTACGTAGACTTTTGACCAGTATCTAAAAACAGGCACATGAGGGCCAAACATCTGTCAAAGGTGGTTTACTAATGTTTGTTTGTTGAAACTAAGAAGTAATGTAAAAGTACTTATTAATTTTTGTGTTGTTGAAGAAATGACTCAGCTGTTTGGGAACTATGACATGAGAGGTTTGAAACTTAGCATGAAGACTGGAAGCAGGGGAACTGGAAAAGCACTTACTTTAACCTCTAACACTATTTCATCCTATTTCTTTAACCTCAGTTTCTTGACAGTTTCATCTAGAGCTCGACTGCTTCTGGAGTTTTGAGGCTAATGACAATTCTTCATATTGATATATGGGCCAGTATTCTTCATAACAATATCACATGTTTACATAATATTGAGAAAAGAAAACAATGGGGTCAGTGTTTGTTCAGTTTCCAGCGATGTATTTCACAAACTAGTTAGCAATTAGCACACCACTCGACTCCGCACCGCCAACTGCTCTGCTACATGTGCTGCAGACGCTGTCGAGTGTTGAATATAATGGCGTTGGAGCCGCTCTGCTGGACAAACTATGCAATGACACCGTGTCTAAATTACCTCAAGTAGCTTTTTTCTGCATTATCTTCTGTTTTACGTCAGACAACATAAATGTCAGTCGTGGTTTATCTTTGACAAAAACAATCGGTTGACAACATCGACCAACTGATTTATTATTTAGCCTTTTCTTTTTTTTTATCCGTTTGCCATTTATAATTTTCCAGCCCAAATGTAATGCTGAATAAATGTAGTTTTCTGTAAGGTTCTCTCAAAGTCGTCACCGTTTGCAGCCGTCGTTTACCAAGAAACAAGCCCAGCACATAAGCTTGTCTAATTTAATTCCTATGACAATGAAAGCAACACAACCTGTTAAGTAGGGAGCTTTAGAGGTGTTCTTAGGCCGATGTTTCACTTTGTTTAAAGCCAGCCCTGCTTCCAGCCTGTATGCTAAGCTAAGCTAACCACCTCCACCAGAATGTTGAACCGTTCCTTTAAGATAGTGTCTGTTTGGACCCGAGCTGAACTGCAACCTGCAGGAAAGAAAGTAAAAAGGGAATGAAGACTAATGCACTAAATGACTAAGGGATGATTCCACTAATGCAGCAGCAGCAGGTAGAATATTATGCAGATTTGAAGCTGCTTTTGGAAAAGCTTGTGTGTCCACGGAATCGCTGACCTGACGGCGGCTTCACCCTCCCACAGTGCTGCTAGTATTATAAACCACACGCCGTTTGGACTTCGCTGTGTGTCGCTGCACTGAACTGACTCACGAGCTGTGTTTCCATTAAGTGTTTTTATAGACATGGTAAAATTTTAAAAATGAATTTGGCATCATTAAAGACAAGTGTTTGAGTCAAGAAAGTTTGGGCAAATTTCAAATAATTTTGCACCGTTTTTTGTCTCATTTTGGATATTTTTGAGGCCTTTTTTTTTTTTGCCAAATTTTGAAATATTTTGCATGATTTTCTTTCATCTTGGACATCTTGAGTCACTGAGCCTGTTTTGACTCATTTTGGACAAAGTTTGAGTCATTTTGAACAGATTTTGACTCATTGTGGACAAAGTTTGAGTCCTTTTTGGTTGTTTTGATCAAGGTTTTGTTATTTTGGACACATTTCTAATAGTTTTTTCCCTTTTTTTTGTCTCACTTTGGACACTTTTGAGTTTTATTTTTGTTTGTTGGGTTTTTTTTAAAACAAATTTCAAGCCATTTTGGACAACTGTCTGTTTTGGGCCAATTTTAAGCCATTTTGAGCCATTTTGAACAAATTTTGAGACATTTTCGACAGATTTGGGATTGTTTAAGAAATGTTTGTGTCATTTTGGACAAATTCCAGGTCATTTTAAACACGGTTTGGCTAAAGTTTGTACAACTTTCCAGATTTGAATCAGTTTGTGAGGGCCTCCTTCGACTCTATTCTAAACATGTGTAACGTAGACTATGCTGCCACCTTCTGACGACACTTTGCGGTGCATTTACTCACTTTAGTGGTTAGTGGAAAACAAGCCCACTTTTGTTGTTTGCAACATTTTAAGCGTTTGCTTCAAATGTGCTTGAACTTCTATGGAAACGCAGCTTGTGACTGCTTCAAATAACAATTATACGCGAACACAGCGACTGGTTTAACCGTCAGTTTAACATGTCTGCTCTCAGCTCACGAGCACTTTGTTGTTTCATCAGGTCTGAGTGATGAACGACAGCCGTCCCGGAGCAAACCGGATTGTGTGACGTTAAAAGCTGAAATCTTTCCGTCCTCTATGCTCTTTAAAAAAAAAACTGCACATTCTGCCTTCTTCAGCTCGTCTAATGTTGAACGCTCTGTTTCTCACCTTCAACATTCAGTTTAATGGTTTTAAAGAGCAGCAGCCAGATGTATAGATTGAGACACAAAGGGACAAATACTGTAAGCACTGCACTTCCTTTGTCACATTTACGTAAACTCGGTTTGGTTTTGGGTCGACAGCTGAGCGGTTTGGGTGCAAATGACGTTAGCACTGATCTTTACTGAGTCCTTCTGCTGCTCTGTTTCTTCCTACTTTTTGTTTTCCTCTAATGCTCCTGTTGAAAGGAAAGTGCACAAACCTGCAGCAAACAGATGTAAACTCAGAACCTCTGCCTGCTTGACACGAGTCCACACCTGTGAGTGACAAACCTGCAGCTGCTTTAATCACTTATTATTACTTTTTACTCACTTTTCAAGCACAAATGTCACATTTTCTGATTCTGGCTTCTCAGATGTGTCCGTTTGCTGCTTTTCATTGTTATATATGATCATTTATTGGATATTTTACTGTCTTTTTACATTTACAGCCAAACAAATAGTTGGATAATTGAGAAAATTGGCACATTTATCGATGAGGAAAATAATTACTATTTTCAACAACCCTCTGTTTTCCTTGTTAGCTTTAACACAAGCGGTTGGAATGAACTCAGTCCAACATCCTGTGGATCTTTATTGGTCTGGTCCAGCCCACTGAAAATAAAACATGTCGAATTTGGTTTAAAAAGAAAATGTACATATTAATCTAATGTGTCTGGCATGATAGAGACTTGTCCATCCTGAATCCAAAACTGCCCATAATAACTTGAAATTAGTCTAAAATGACTCTAAATTTGTCCTTAATGACATAAAGTTGTGCTAAATGACACTTTCATCCAAAATACCAAAACCTTGGATAATGACTCAAAAATGTAACCCGTCCAGAAATCTGGACGGGATGTGTCCAAAATTACAAAATAATTGCCCGAAATGCCTCAAATCTTTTCCAAAATGACGGCAAATTGTGTAAAAATAACATCAACCTGCCCCAAAAGGACTCAAAAAAATTCCAAAATGATAAAAAAAAAGATCTAAAATGACTTCACATTTGTCCAAAATGACATAAACGTGTCTTGAATGACCACAAATTAGTCTGAAATGAATCTAAATGTTCCTAAATGACACTTTCATCCAAAATATCATAACCCTGGAAAGTGACTCAAAAATCGAACCCGTCCAAATTCACATAAATGTGTCCAAAATAAAAACAAAATAAATGCCTCAAATCTTTTCTACAATGACAACAAACTGTCCAAAATAACATCAACCTGCTCAAAAGGACAAATATTTCCAACATGCTTTAAAAAAAAGCTGAAATTTCTCCAAATGACTCAAAATTTGTATAAAATGAATCAGAAATATCCCAAAGTTCCTCTGAATTTGTCGAAAGTTAATCCAAATTAGTCTAAAACATGTTTAAAATGTGTCCATAAAGACTCAAAACTTGTCCAAAGCTTGTGATGTCAACGGCCTGCTGCGTTAAAGAAGAGCAAAGATAGTAATGCTTCGTGCAAATAAGGAGAAACTTTGCTCTTATGTGGGCACAAAAGGATTTGCAGCTCAGGACAAATGTGTTTCTTTGCTTTTGTTGATGCATCACATTCTCCTGCAGAGTCGGATGTGTCTTCGTTTCCACTTTCCATCCGCTGACAAACCGTTTCTGCCTCTTTAGACCCTTAAAGCCACCGATAGTCGACGTTTAACGGCGTGTCGCTGCAGTCGCTGAGTTTCATTTGTGATTTTGTGCCTCCTCCTGTGTTTTACTGTGAGACAGAAGCTGCTTCATTCGTAAAGTCGTGCATTCGGCAGCTTAGAAATAAACGCTGAGGAGGAGTTTGGCTGGCTGACGGAGCTGAGCTTTGTGTGTTTCCTCCTGCTGCTGTTGAAGAACACGAGCGATTCCTGAAGACTTGTTCTAACGCTGTCAGACTTGAACTAATTGTTATTGTTTTCTGATCATTTATGTGCCAAAAGTTCCTTCTTTGTTTTTCCTCTCATGCGTTAATGTGACTGTTGGTCTGTGAAACACTGATGCTCACGTCTGTGGATTCTAACGTCGGCTGCATATGAAGGGGAAAAAAAAACACAATTTAAGGGCTTCTAATGTTGAAATATTGTTCCAATAAATCCACTGTGGTTCTAAAAGTTGTCATGTTCCGTCATTTCTTCCATACTTTCCAGTTTGCCGGATGATTTGTCCACCGAGCCGGATCAGGTGATGCAGGTAGAATTAGTTTAGGAATATTGATATCAGAATGGTCCTAAACGAGTCAAAACATTGTCTGGAACAACGAAGACATTTAAACGAGTGATGAGCTGACATTTCTGACAAGTTCTAATTCATTCTGGACGAGCTTTTGAGTAATTTTGGACCATGTTTAAGTCATTCTGGACACGTTTAAGTCATTTTAACACATTTCTGAGTCATTCTGAGCAGATTTCAAATCATTTGGGGCGACTTTTAAGTAGTTTGGAACATTGTTTAAATCTTTCCTGACAAGTTTGCATCATTCTGGAAACATTTTTGACACATTTGTCAAGTAGCTTTTGGCAATTTGGAGTCATTTTGGACCAGTTTGTGTTTTTTGGGATGAATTTTGAGTCATTTTGTCCAATCTGTAGTCATTTTAGAGAATTTTTTTTTTATCTTCTGGACAACTTTTAAGTCATTTTGGATCATTTTTTGAATTATTTTTGAAAGGTTTCTATCATTTTTGACAGTTTTTAAATCAATTTCAACACTGCTTATACCGTGTTGGACACTTTTCCATTTATTGCGGACAACGTTTGAGTCACTTTGGACGTTTTCTAAATAATTTCAGGTAAAATCAACCTTTTAAACAATAAATTATGTGGAAAGAATGTCATATGTTGGGTAGAATAAATGTTGTAAATCATATGTTGTTAGCTAGAAAGTCCTATTTGGGTTAAAATAACCTCTTAAACTATACGTACTTGAACAGAAAGGAATATTTTGGGTGAAATTAACCTTTTGAAATATAAGTTCTGGGACAGAAAGTAATATTTTGGGTGAAACAAATCTTTACAACCATGTTTTGTTTGTTAGAAAGTAATATTTGGGTGGAATAAACCTTTAAAAACTCCAAGTACATGAACATAAAGTGGAATTTCAGGTAAAATCAACCTTTAAAACGATAAGTCATGAGGAAAGAATGCAGTATTTTGGGTAGAATGAACATTTTAAATCATATTTTGTTAGTTAGAAAGCACTGTTTGGGTGGAAATAACCTTTTAAACTGTAAGTACTTGAACAGAAAGTAATATTTTGAGTAGAATCAGTTTAAAACAGTATTTGGGTGAAGTACATTTTTTAAACTACACGTACTTGAACTAAAAGTAGTATTCTGGATGGAATAAACTTTTAAAGCTGTAAGTGCTTCTATAGCAAGTAGTATTTTGGGTAGAAGAAACATTTTAAACCATATTTTGTTCATTAAAAAGTACTATTTGAGTGGAATAAACCTTCCAAACTAAGTACTTGAACTAAAAGTAGTACTTTAGGTGGAATAGACTTTTTAAACTAGAAGTTCTTGGACAGACAGAAGTATTTTTTTAGTGGAATAAACCTTTAAAAACGTGTTTTGTTTGTTAGAAAGTTCTGTTTGGGTGGAATAAAACGTTAAAACTACAAGTACTTGGACAGAAAGTAGTGTTCTGGGTGGAATGAACCTTTGATTTGACAAGTACTTGAACAGAAAGTAGTATTTTGTGTGGAATAACCCTTTAAAACTAGAAGTCATGCAGCTTTATTCCAGTTCTGTAGGTGGCGCTGCTGTGTCGGACAAACAGCTGTGGTCCTGAAACTGCCGCCTGCAGAAGACTGAAGCTTTTATTTTACCTTCAGAATCTGCCTCTAACTTTATTTTTCTACCAAATAATGTGAATTCTTCTTCCATTGCTGAGTGTTTTTACTGAGCACTGAGTCATCCCAGGTGATCTAATGTTGTCTCTGTCTCCGAATGTTTCTAAAGAACAACCAAACGAGCTCATTTTGAGAAAAATCACGTCATTTTTAGAAGAATCCTCCCTGGAGTGGTCCTGTTGAGGTCAGTCCCTATAATAAAGTGTTTTTCTAGTGAAGCCTGCAGCGCCCTCGTGTGGCAGCACAGCGCAGCTCCACACTGCAAAGCCTTCAGTTTGATTGAGTTAATGAAGACCAGCTGCATGAAGCCCTGCGTGCTCAGGCACACTGGAGCCACGTGACGCTGCCTTCAGGTACCATCCTGGGAAAAGTTTGTAGCTTCAGGTTTGTTAAAAACTGTGTGAAAAGGCACAAATATGAACAGTAGTAGCATTATTACAGCTCAAAATGTGACTTTACTATGATTCCACAGTATAATGTTGGACTTTTTTGTTAGTTTTAATCCACTTTGCAGGAATTATAGAACAATTACTGACTATATATCACTTTACTCCAGGGGTGGGCAATCCTGGTCCTGGAGGGCCACAGTCCTGCATGTTTTAGATGTTTCCTTCTTCCAACACACCTGATTCACATGATCAGGATGGTTATCAGGCTTCTGTAGAGCTTGATGATGAGCTGAGGACCAGGATTGGACACCCCTGCTTTACTCAGTCACACATGTGAGTAAACTTAAATAAAAAGACATAAAAACGTGCATAAAATAATCCAAAACAGCCCAATAATTTAACATAGACTCTCTAACAGGCATTTTGTGCCTGTAAATAATCATTTTTTCATTTCAGTGTTGCTCTTTTGCCTGAGATCCTGTGACTCAAGAAAATCAACAGAAAGTCTGATTGTTCTGCTCTTGCAGTTTGTTTCCATGGAGAACTAGTCAAAATAAAGAAAAGGTTTAACAGCAAAGTCAGAAATGTTTTGCATGAAAGTGATAAAAGCATTTACATGAGTTTTGGAAGGAAAAAAAGCTTCAACAAATAAAAAATAAAATAAAACTGACGAGAAACAAACAGTTGTACTGGACAAAATAATCAAAAATCTATTGTTTTGTTGCAGAGGCTGATTTTTTGACTGTAGCCAGAAAATATATTAAAACTAGGACACATTTCCCTCTGAGACAACAAGTCACCACTGTTACTGTGTCTCTTATATACACTTAGTTCCTTATTTAACATTTACAGGACGGTTTAATCCGAGCTGCTCGCTGTCTCTTGGATGTTGTCGTTACATTTACGATACATTTACTCAAGAAATTAATTTGGAATTTACAATTCTGCTGTACTTTTCTCTTGAGTTTTTATATTTCACGCTGCTTTCAACTAGTTCAACTGTTATTTAACACATTTTAGCCCACTACACTTATCCGACAGCTACTGAAATGAAGATTTTGCGTGTAAAAATGAAGCGTTTCCAAAGATTAACAGTGACTTCTGTTGTTTTTCTCTTCAGATGTTTGTGAGCTGTCAAAAGATGTTTTTCTTCGGTAAAACTCTTCCATGGTTTTGAGGCAAAAAGAGATGAAATTGTCCAATATTTCAGAAAAATTCTATTTAAATTCATGTTTTGGTTGTACAGCATTTGAATCCAGACCAAACCACTGTAAATAGATATCTAGTAAATGGTGGGTTTTAAAATCACAGCAGCCTCAGTTTGTGCCTTTTGGATAGATTTCATGTTGCCTCAATTTGAAAAAATAAAATGTATTAAGCTGTTCTAAAATTTGAATTAATGGTCACACATTTGTCTGTATAAATATGACTTTTTTTCCTCAATTGTTATTAGATGTTCTCTATAATCTAACAGTAACACTAACTGGTACAAATGTGCTTTTCTTACAGTGTACAAGCCACATTTCCCATCATTCTCTTGGGTCATGTGCACCACAACAGGGAAAACTTAAATACGTAAATCACTAAATAAGTAAGCGAGGGAAAAAATATAAATAATCTTTTAGAATAGTTTCCCTGTGAAACCCAGACTGGACATATTTGTCTCAGTTTATCTTTGCTGCAGGAAACTCCCAGTCAGACATTAAATCCATCCACAGCAGACTAGTGGGAAACCCGAGTTTACAGACGGCCCTTGAAGGCAGCATGTCTGCTTTCTCGGAAAACATTTTGAGTTCTTTAAGGAGAGAGAGAGAAAAAAAAACACCCTGGAAATGTAATATCCAAGACTACAGTCCAGAGTCACCACCGACTGATGCGTAATTTATCCGGTGGTGAAATCTGTTTCCAGGAAGTAGACGGAGGACAAACTGATCAACAACATCAGCGCCTCCAGCTGCGATCTGTCAGATATGAAGAAGTCCAGTTTACGCACACACACACACACACACACAGTTTAACAGCTCAGAAAGGACAGATTTTCTGATACTATAGAGGCTATAAAGAAAAAAACAAAAACAAAACAGGCTTTGAAGCTGACAGAGAAATGTGGGATTGAGTGGGAGGAGTTCAAGTCCTCGCCTCCAGCTGTTCTCTCCTCCTCCGATCACAACACACGAGCAGCGGACGGAGGATGAATGGGAACCTCCTGCAGCTCCTCCTGAACTCACGAGGAGACGAACCTGCGGCCACTTCCTCACATGTGGACGATGAAAGCAGCAGCAGCAGCAGCTCAGACACAGCAGCTCCGATTTTATGCAACTTTTCGTGGAGTCCGGAGGAGCTGAGATGAAGCTTTGTCTCTGAACTAACGAGGTGAGTTCTGACGCGGAACTTTTACGCACAGCTGCTGCGCGTAAAAGTTGTTCTGTGGGTGGAAAAAAATACTGCAAAGCGTGAAACTCCAGCTTCTCTGGTAGAAAACCAGAGAAATGATGAAGGTCTGTGTTGGTTTTCGAGCAGGTGGGTGAGCAAGAAATCACAGCAGTTCTAAAGTACAGACAGATAAACAGCGTTGATTGGAAATGACAGAAGAGACGCTCCACATCGGGCTCCAACAAGACTGTACGTTATTTTATGCGAACTTTTCTGTGCTTTCATGTCTTTATTCGGGCTTAAATGTTAGCTTGCCATGATTTAGTTTATTTTACTTTACTTTAAATTTTTTTTAACAGTATATCTTGTGATTTATTGTGTTGGCAGCACTGATTGTGGAACCCAGAGACGTTTTCTGATATTTTTATGTGGAATATACAGAAATGTTGGTATTTCTGTTCATGGTCCAGTAGCTACGATTAAACTACGAGAATAACCATGACCTGGATGACTGAGAATCTTCACAGACTTCATGGAGTGTTATTTTTACTTGAGGATTTTTATTTATTTATTTATTTAAATATCGCGGTATTATTATTATTATTTTTTTTATTCATGCTTATATATTATGCTTGTTTATATTTCATTTTAATGTTTTTGTACAGTATTGTTGTTGTGCTGGATTAGGATGGCAACACTGTCAGTTCCATCATTGTCTGATTTTTATGTAGAATATACAAAAGTTTCAGGTGATCCTGTTTTTCTTCATGTCACATTTGTTTAATTTTCTTTCTTTTCTTTTTTTTTTAAAATATATTTTGTGTGGAATATGCAGAATATACAGTAAAGGTTTTTGCTGTGCTATTTTTAATGTATTTCATGTTTTTTTAAACAATATTTCTTGCACTTTATCAAGGTGACAACGCTGTCATTTCCAAGATTTGGTTTCTTTTTTTGTGGAATATTATATTGTTTCATACAGTTTTAGGGTGTGCTATTTTTATTGATAGTTATATTTATGAATTTTTTTGTGGAATATGTTGAAGTTTTTGGGTATGTTGTTTTATTTATTTACATTTTATTGATATTTATTTATTTTATTGCTTGATCAGGATGGCAGCGCTGTCATTTCAATGGAACAGTTACATGTATGTAGACGTTTTTAGCTGTTGTTATTGTTATTTATGTTTTTTGAATTTTTTTTATTTACAATAATTAGTTCATTTGGAAAACACAATTGTAAAAAAAAAAAAAAGAAAGAAAGAAAACAAAGAAGCTAAAGCAGTAGAAAGTAGTACAAACTAAGTAAATGTACTGAGTTGATTCATATTTTATGGATAAGTAAAGTAAACCGATCAACAAACCCTTAACTGTTGCTTTAGTAAATATACTCAGTGTCTTCTCAGCTATAGGTATAGGTTATAGGTATGTTTTTGATTTCATCCCACTGAATAGAATATTTTGATGGGGAATGTTTTATTTTTGGCCACAAAATATAAGATTTTAAGACAACATCTGCCTTCGATGATGAGAAAACTGAAAGATATTCAACTTACAGTAGAAAACCCCAAAATCTGCACATTTAAGGAGCTGGAACGAGAACATGTTTGGTATTTTTTACTTTCATAAATGACTGAAGCAACTGATAGTTTGTCATAAATGTTGATTTTAGCATGTTGTAGATTTCCGTTATGGTGGACTGTCTGACGTGTAACTGGACGTTTTTGTGTCTGCAGGTCTGTAGTGAAGCTGCTGTCTGCTGCTGCTCGTCATGTCCCTGTGGATGATTCTTCCTGTCAGCCTGCCCGTCTTCACCATCACAGGAATATGGGTGGTGTAAGTACCTCTCATTTATTCAGAAACGAGCTCCGGTTCGTTAATCTGTCGTCAGTGTAACGCTTCATGTCTGGATGCTATTCATCAACACACTGTTTGTCATCATTTGTAAAAACTTGTGTGTAAACCAAGTAGTTATTTAAAAATGCTGAATTTGGAGAAACTGACTGACAACTTATTTTTATGTTATTCAGAAAATAGGTTACCTAAATAATTATTTAAACAACAGCAAACTTTATCTTGTGTAGACACCCTGTCCCACTTGTTGGCCTTAATTTAATTTAATTTAATTTAATTTAATTTAATT